GACTATTTTCTCAACAAAACGTTTGCCAATTGTGTACAAAATGGCTGGTTGAGACATTTCTATATGTCTTTTCAGTAATTCTGGAAGAGATGGCTGTACTGGGTATAAAACTTTATCGTCCAATGTCAAACCTTCGAGCTGCTGACTGATACTTTCAAGGAAATCTTTAAAGAAGGAGAACCCTGAATAGGAGTCACACACGAGGTAGTGCGTAGAGAGGACAAAYGCCTGATAATACATTTCAWCCTCAGGATCAAACTGCTCCTTTAGCATTACAAATCGCCACARGGGACCCTCCTCGGGAAACTGCTTGGTCAACTCTCGCTCAAACACAGTCTGCCATTGATCAGATGTCATTGCTTTCAATTTGAGGTGAAATTCAGCGAARTCAGGGTTGGCCATTTCTACCCATTCTTTTTCCACTTTCTTTTTCCCATCTATCYGAATTTTCTTCCGAGAGATTTTCGTTCTTAGTATTTCATTCTTTTTGGTCAAATATATCAATGTGTTTTTAACTAAATTTGGATTAATGTGGACTTTACTTTTGATGATMATTGCATATGACGTAATCGAACCTCCAAATTTATGCAARTGGTCTAYGGCACTTTCAAAACGAGAGAGTTTTCGAATGGGTATCGAGTCGTTTTCGGTTGCTGCTCGGTCTCGYTTGGCTTGYTTTTGTCTCTGTGAAACCTTTTTACTTAAAATCGCAAAYGCTGTCATTAGGCATAACGAATACAGAATTGTAAGACCGACTTTCCTGAAGTTGTGTTGGACCCATTCAATTGAAGACCAAACTAAGCCATTTTCATCCATGTTAAATCAAAGATAACAAAAAAAAAAATACCTCTAAATGTAGAGAAAACACKTCTTGTGTCATGTGTTGGGATAATGTTTTATAACGTTCTGGAATAAAGCAGTTTTGATTTCGTGAGGTAGCACTTCCGCAATAGCTTCTCGATCCTCCATCTTGGATTTAGAAGTTGCGCCGGGCTGGGAACGAGTACGCTCTCCCCAGACTTCATTGGACGATAAATGGCGGGAATATTAAAACAAACAGGGGCAAGTATTAAAACAAAATGATTTGGGGAGATAACGTTTTCATAACAAATTCTCCGTTTTTTTGAGCTTGCAAACTAGTAATGATATAAATAAAGAAAAATAAATAAATGAATAAAAAACTAAATATCAATGAATGATATGCTTTCAATTTTCTCTTTATTTTGATTCTGACGACACATTTTTTTCTACACATATCTTTAGTGTTTGACAATTTCTTGAGTGGAAATCAATAGCTTCATCCAGCATGTCAGCTATTACATGTTTGTAATGAATCAGGAATACCTATATACAGGCTAAAGGACYAGGGGCAGCCAAGAACCTTTGCATCATATATGATAAGTTGCCAACTTTGACTTTGAACTAATCAAAAAGCAGCTTTCAGTAACAGATTATTTCAATAAATGATTGCAAAGTTTCTTGAGCCTACGTGACAATTTAAGCTTGAATAGCAAACAACAGGGCAAARGAAAAAGCATCTTAGTTTGACTTCGTCTTGTTCAAGAATCAAGTTACCCGGCTGGCCAATCAGGGTTGACCCTTGCCATCTTCTGAATGGAAAAAAAGGGAAGGATGAAAAGAAAGAAACTGCAATTTCACTTCATCCTGACTGGTCTTAACCAGACATAAACTATCAATCTGTCGGTAGTTATTGACTAAAGTACTTTAGCAAGTGTACTTGATCTATGTTCTTGCTCATTTGGACTTTACTGGGTCAAAGCATGACATTGTTTTTATTTTGCCATGTACAGAGATCCCAGTTAGCTTTGTTTTGGGGTAGGCACTGCGTAGTACATCTCTAGGGGCTTATTGACCTGCCAATACTGCAAAATAATGGATKCTATGTCAACCATCTTTTTAAACAATCTAATAAGGTAGGCGATAAAAAACAAGGGACGACAATGAGTTGACTGAAAACCACACAAGATGCACATCCCCTGCCAACAATTTTTTTATGACATTTTTTATTTGCTCATTAGAAAATGTGAAAAAATTATCCCTTTACTACCCTCCTGTGAGAATGGAGATTCAGTCAAATGTTATTTTGACCCCTATGCTAATGCATTTTACCAGCATTACAGCAGAAACCGTTGCATGGCGACTTCAATGTTCAAACTGAAATCGTTGGGATTTAGGTTTTTCTGCGACTTGGGGGCGGAGCTTGACACTAATTAGCCAATGACTGAACGAGTTTACGAAAAGCTCAGCCCCTTAGATCGAAGGAAAGAACAAAATCCAGTCAAACTTCAAAACAAAGAAGTCGCAATGCAACGATTTTCGCTGTAATTAGTAATATTTTCATAAGTTCACTGCATAAAATATGTTCTCAAAATGCTAGTACTTGCAAGATTCAAAATTTCAAAACTTCCTGACCCCAGTGTTTGGTGTTTATTAGCCCCCTTCCCTTCCAAAAATATACTCCACTCTGTCAATACATGTACATGCACTTTTACCTTTTCATTGACATGCTCTAGACTCATTGAACCTGGTAGTTGCTACAAAATGAATTAAAAAATAAAGAAATGAAGAAAGAAATGACAAAAATACGACAACAGAATCATTTGAAATTTAAGTTGTAAACGTTTTTATCTACACTGTAATCAACTCATCAAATTTATGATTACAGTTGATTAGAGTGTAGATATTTTTAAATATTTAATATCTAATACTTACAGTATATTGGCCAGGAGTACTGGCAATGTAAATRGTGAAGTTACTGCCTTCTTCAGGAGCTTCCTGGCCATTTGTAGATGAGCCTGAATGAGGACAGAAACAATTAGATGTCCAGTAAACACACACCACATAGACTGAATGTAACTTAGGCATTGAAAAATGTTTGCATTGAATTTATAATTCCATAATTCTTCATAATTATACATGTATGAAGGCAGAATAATATGACCTTAACACTCAATAAAGCAAATTGTTGTTGCCAATTGCTCACATTTGATCCGATTAACACCAAACTTTGCGAGTTTTTTATTTACAGAGTGTTCTTTTGTTCTATTAAGTCCTATCTCACCATTGTGTGAATAAGGAACTTGTAGAGTGCAAGTCACATAAGCATGAAACAATTCTTAACTATGTAGTGCTAAATAAGATTTAGTTATCAACTAACTAAGAATTGAGAACAATGCTACAAAGGAATTTAAATAATTGGCATTGTGTTTATGCTTTGTTGAATTCTTAGTTAGTTGATAACTAAATCTTCTTTAGCAATACATATTTAAGAATTGTTTCATGCTTATGTGACGTGCACTCTATACAGTCTTCCATGTTATGAAAGCAGGCAATGGCTATAATTGTAAATCCCTTTTTTTTATTACGTAAAGTGAAATAGTTAGCCCACCAACCTAATGGCAAGCTACAGATCTCAAATAAACAGGGTCTTACAGTGAAGTAGTAAACATGATTTGTTATCGACAATGTTATTTTACAGTCTTCAAAAATACATACATGTACCTTCATTTTTGGATTCAAGGGCTAGTCTCATTGCCAAGTATTTGGAAAGATGATCAACTGTAAAGAAATACAAACAACAATTCAAATCAAGAATTTTTATTTGTTGATTTTCATACTCCGAAAAATTGTTATTGAGACTTTAAATCAAAACAATATTTGGCCAGGGTGCATTAGGCACTTAAATTAATAAAGGTTTTCAGTTGCTAGTTGCTTGCTGTTCTGCCTGACAGCAAACATACCTGAAGCATTAGCTGTAGTCTTGATATATCGTGTCTGTTGGGCAACAGTTTCAGGGTCATGGTCTTTAGGGTGTGGCTTGAATACAAGCTCTATTTCCTGTGATTGATGAATTGTAATCTTAATACAATATTATTAAATCATATCCTTAACAATAAGCATTTTCATAGATTTTAAATTATTGTCCATCTTTATGCTTTTAACATGCACTCTATATATCAACATGATGGATGCTTGCATTGCTTTCTGGGACAGATCCTTGATTTTTTCCTGGGGGGTGCAACCTACTATATCGCCCACTATAAATGTGTGTGCATGTTGGGGGGCTATCGGTGCAATCCAATGAACCCCCTGAATCTACATTTGGCTTACTTACACTAACATTATCGATGCTATCATTCCCAGCCTCCCCAGTAGAGTCTACTGTGTCTGTTGAAAGACAAAGATAAGTTTTAAGAATAAATGCACTTAATGTGTGAAACAATGTGTGAATCGTGTCACACTGATGAAGGTCAATATATTGCCTGAAATGTCTTTTATAAGATCATAAAAAAATCAACTAATTTTTATACAACTTTTCAGTAAAATCAGACGTTTTGATTGGTTGGCTTTCGTGTGTTATCAAAGTATAGATACACGGATTACGTCAAAACTAATTGTTTGTTGTATAAAACAGATAGATCTCATTTTTCCGTGCGTGTGTACTCTAATAGATACACAAATGACGTCAAAATGTAGTGAGAACAACAGTCACGCACTCGACTGCGTCTCGTGCGTACTTTTTTGTTCTCACTACATTTTGACGTCATCTGTGTATCTATTAGAGTACGCACGCAGGGAAAAATGAGATCTATTTGTTAAATAATGTTTAAAAACCATTAAGTCAATTAAGAGAATAATGGTCTAACAGTCTCCTTTTTTCACAGGTTTTCTCAATGTTTTATAAAATTATGAAACACTTATAATAAAGAGCAAACGCAGGAAAACCATTAAATAAAATCAAACTAAATACTAACAAATAGCAGCTATTTAGAGACAATTTGTCAGTATCAATGAACCAGAAYGCAATCAAGATGAATTAAAAATGGTCCCATGTSGATTCATCTTGAYTGGGTTCTGAGTGGTTGATTGATACTGACAAATTGTCTCTAAATAGCYGMTATTTGTTAGTATTTAKTTTGATTTTATTTCATGGKTTTCCTGAGTTTGCTCTAAAYRCTATAAGGTAATTACTTTCGCTAGCGTCTGATTCGTCAGAGSCTGTTTTTGTTTTCTTCTTGGTTGGTGGGACTGAGGWACTGGCTTCAACTGTAGGTGGGGGTGCTGATGAGGCTGACGGAGCAGCTTGATTTTGGTCTTCTGATGACCGTTTTCTCTGGATTAAATAAGTTGWTTATCAATGGTAATCAAACAACCTTGCTAAATTGAACTAAATCTTACCACTCTCTGAGCTCTGTTCAATGCCTGCAGCTTGAGGCCTTCTTCAATACTGGTTGTTAAGGCTTGTTGGTTGTGATGTTTATTTAATCTTTGAAGGACTTTTTCCTTGTGAAATAAATATATTATGTTCAGTAATTCTCTGTGAAGTAGAAATCATACACAACAAAGTGACGACTGATAGGTAATGGAAATGCTTGTTTGTTCAAATACTACCCTGAATTAACCAAATGAAACATTTTCTTAAAATCAAACAAAACATTGCCTCAAAAGCAAACAAAACAACCCCAACACAAAACAAAACACTCAAAACAACATCATCAACAACAACAACATTACTTCAAAACAAGAACAAAAAACCCAAAACATTACCTCAACACAAAATGAAACACTCAAAACAACAACAACAAAAAACATTAACTTCAAAACAAGAACAAAAAAACCCAAAACATTACCTCAAAACAAAATGAAACATTACCTCAAAACCAAACATATTATACCTCAAAACCAAACAAAACATTACCTCAAAACAAAAGAAACCTGAGTACTAGTACCCCCTCAAAAAAATAAACAAACAAACAAAGCACAGAAAAAGAAAAAAAGAAACAAAACAAAAACACAGACTTGCGCAAAAAATAAAACAAAACAACAAATACAAAACAAACTGAAACAGCGCTGCATTAATAATTATTTTTTTACCTGGTGCGCCTCATATTCTTCTCTGTCTGGATAAATCTTAATAAACAGCATAAATTATAGAAATCAGTACTAAGTTCAGAAAATAGTCTGAAACATTGTTATTAACAAAATAATAGACAACAAGTCTGTGTTGTTCAAAGTCGTATCAATGTTAATCCACTGTAACTCCATTAGGTTCTTTTAAGAGTTCACACGGAAGTAGCAGTAATCAAGCTTTGAATAATGCGGCACAGCTTGAAAAAACCTAAAACATGACCGCTTCAAATGCCAGTTTTATCATGTCCTTTTATATATAATTCTGTTACTAAACTATAGAGYGGATTTCGTATGAGTGGGAAACGGACGGTACTGTACTGTGTCCGTAATCGTACTGTAACCAAATTCTAGTGCCCCATTGTTTCACCAAAATTCTGCAGGCCAGGTGCGGTAACTGTGCGGTGACCGTGCGGTAACGGTGTCCCACTCATACGAAATCCGCTCTATTTCCCATTTAGCTGAATTTACCTTTGCTATCAAAGCATCAAAGTTTGGGTCTGGTCTGAGTGATCGTTTGGACACTAGTTTCTTTCTGCACGTTGGGCATTCCTTGTTTCTATACAACGGAAAGAAATTATGTTTAGCATCAAGTGTATTTTTCATACTAACAAGCTCTAGAGGACTTAAAAAACACAAATATACAATGTACTTACCCACTTCTTAAAGCAGTAATGATACATTCTTGACAAAATCTGTGAAGACACTAAAAGCAATGGACATGTTTGAATTTGATTATAAGCAATCATATTTATTACCCAACAGCCAGAAACTACGGGATGGCAAGGCAGCGCTAAACAAGAAATGTACATGTTACACTATGTACTGTGAATGCTAGCTCAATTTATTTAATTTTCCTTTCAACAATTCTAAATTTAATACATGTAATAGTCTCCTTCACGGTTACTTGCGCCTTACTTGAAAGGTAGCCATACCTTTACATCGAAGCGAGAAGACCGTTGAGCATGCAATATGATAGATACGTGTGAATAACTGTCTGTAGGTGTGAAAGAAGGTTTCTATCATTGCACGCTTAACGGTCATCTTGCTTCAATGCAAAGGCACAACTACCTTTCAAGATTGCGCAGGGAACTGTGAAGACTATTGCTTTTCTGTGATACATGAGTCGCATTCTGTTTCCCAACCAATATYAATAAAATGCCTTTTACTGTACCTCTTTAGTTGTCATCGTGTTCTTCAACATATCAAGACAGATTGGGCACATAAGTTCGCTGTGAAGACTCCGTGGAGAGATGGATATTTCTGTATCGTCTGTTATTGAGTCCTGTGGTGTTCGATGTAACTCATACAGACTCAGCTCTATATGATATTTAACAAAGATATACTTTCAATTTTTACCAAATTCTTGTGTGCTGATTGGCTGATTAGAGYGTGTTAATAAGAGGACGTGCATACTGTGCTGATACCATCGCTTCTCGCTGGTGCAATCAGTTGAAAGGAAAGAATGACTGCTAATTTTTGGATTACGGGGCTTGTAGTTCACTTGAGTTTTGAACATTTTATGACATCAAGAGTGTGTCAATAAGAGGAYATACAACCCAAAAACCATGTGAAATTTGTTAAGTTTACTATATGTATTCCATGGTTCAAACTACATTATATTACATAGGATTAATTTAAACCCTAAATTGTTTGTACTTTCAAAAATGAAAATTTTGACTRCCAATACTTGCTCGAGAGCTGAGATGTACACATATACATAAATATACTTTAACCACAGAAAAACTCAGCCAATTAACAATAGACATATGCCATTTTTCTTTCATTAATGACTTAGAATACAATATTGAGAGGATGACACACTATGTACAATAACATTTCATATATGATGCTTTCTGCAAGATATAGGTATTTTAAACCAAATATATGGATTAATGTGTTTAAATCATGTTAGGTGTTTCCTTAATTTATATTTATTCATTGTTRGAGTTCAGCGTCTTGTCAAACGAGCAATACTCTCTTTAGTAATGTAACTTATCGTACATCCAGACAGCGATTTGTCAAAAATGTATACTGCAGATTCAGAAAGCAAAATAATCCTCAGTATTTAATGGTTATTATTAAAGAAATTGCTCAATTTTTCTAAACATTACTAAATTCATAATTCAATCTCAGTAAAGAAGATCACAATTAATTTTTWTCATTATTTTGGCGACAACACATGTCATCGATTTCAACAACACATCGCTATAAATTCGACTTCTTGTTAGACGAAATTAACTTACCCCACGACTTGGGCTGTGGAATTTGTGGAGCTGAGGCTTGGACAGACATTTCTACTTTGTTTTTAAAGGAATAAAATACGTATCCGATAAATAATTGGAGTTCAAAGACAAAGAATTTTGTTGAATACTATTTCAGATTTTTGATGTAGAAGTGAAAAGTACCCAAGGTCCTTTGCGGATATTCTGTAGCCTGGCCTTTATTTATATTATACCGGAAGTAAACTTGTGTTCAACTAAAAAAACCCTCTCAATTGAAAGAAAAACAAAAAGAACAGTGACTATAAGCAAAGAGGGTAAGAAGTACAGTTTAGAAAAAGAAAAGAAAGATTCAAATATTGTCAAACATTATGTAATGAAATGACTGYCATGTATCTAATGTATCAATCAAATATCGATTGGTCATCGATTGTACATGGCTTGGTTACCTAAAAAGTTTGTTTTCACGACTAGAAGGGAATCACGCACGATTCTCAAAACCATGCAAAATTTAGTTAATATGATTTCTTTTGCATAGATCTATATCTCTTCACAATGTACTACAATTCAATATGAAAACATTTTAATTATTACACGCTTCATGTATAGAAAAAGGGACTTTTATGTCTTCATGTAGTGGAAGTTTTCTTCTTCACCACTGACTGTCATGGAGGACTACGAAGTTGTTCGTATTYTAGGCGCTGGAGCTGGTGGAAAAGTTTTCCTTGCAAAAGAGACGGACTCTGGGAAGTAAGTGTAAAAATGCACATCATAAAGTCTTGAGTTTGCACAAATTAAGTAAGACTCTTGAAGTTACACAAGATCACATCTTTACCGTGTTCTTCACAGCTGATTATTTCAATTAAGTTAAGTTAACTTAATTAAAGCTTAAAGTAATTTCTTTATTAAGTTAGAGTACAAACACTAAAACTTTGCAACATAAATACCACTAAATACTGCTAAATTATGCTAATTCTATTGTTTAATTAACACTATTTTGTAGTAAATAGTTTAAAGTATTTCACACATTTAATGTTTGTACTCTATAACATTTGGTCAAAATATTTTCAGATATGTTGCTATTAAAGAGATTACACTGGACCCCAAGAAAAAGACAAGGACGAAAGAAGCTGTTGAAAAGGAAGCAAAGTAAATTCACACTTTTAAAAATTAACTTTAAGTTGTTATCACTCYTGTATACGATATATACCCAATGCACCAGTTTTCCATGTCCCAGTGCCATCTTGAAAAGTAACAGAGCCTTTGCATCAAAGCGAAACAGCAGTCGAGTATGGTACAACGATAGATACCTGTGAGTAATTGTCTTAGCTTTGAACAAAAGGTATCTATCACTGCAGGCTCAAAACTGTCTCGTTTTAATGCAAAATACTCAACTACGTTTCAAGATAGCATTTTAGAACTGTAAAATGGAGTATTCAAAAATGGCAGACCATYATTGAAAAAAACATTGCTATTGCTTAAGAGAACAGCCCAAAATTATATATTATTATGATTATTAAATTATTGATGGGAAATTCTTAGATAAGTCTACCAGTCAATCCAACTGCTAGAATCCTCCCTTACTTCCCAGACTAAAACCTAGGACTAAACCYAAGTCCCGTTCCAGAYGTTGATCTTTTRCCGAGTCTAATCTAATTGGTGGAGTTGAGTTTATGAGCATTTTGTACTCTGAATTTATTGACATTAGAAAATGTCAGTTGGAAAATTACTATAATCTGTAAATATCAATYGATGTTGACTGCAAACTTCTCGAGAACTGCATGTAAGCAATAAAATTAGACGTGACAAAAGATTGACATCTGAAAAASCCTCATGTTGTAAACGTCAAAAATACCAGACATTAAAAGGTTTTTGCTCAACAGGATTCTGGCTTCTCTAAAACATCCACATATTGTGTGCATGTTGGASTCYTTCTTTGATCAGCATGAAGAACAACTATTCATTGTGCAGGTACATGTACTTTTGCTACTTAGTGAAAATTATGCATGGCATATTTGCATGATAATCAAACCTTTATATCACATGATTGATTGCCAAAATATTTAATAATTAACCTCAACTTCTAGTACATGCTTGTAGTGCTACTCCTTGAAAAACCTACATGTGTACTRGACATGTATTTTCATAGACTTCTTCACAGGCTACTCCTAAGAAAACTCATGTTTTCTCCAATTAACCTTTCTGTGTTGATTTATCCGAACAAGAAAAACTGGTCCAGAGAGACTAGGAACACTYCTTCCTTCCTAACCACTTCCTCCTCMAGCTGGTTTTCTGCCTTAACACAGGAATCCCATGGAATAGAGTTGCCTGCAAAGGAGTCTSTATTTTCAATGGTACTTGAAAAGCCYTTGAAAATAKGAAATACTCAGACCATTCTATGAGATTACTACTTGAACCTGATTTAATGCAAGTTCTACTTTTCACGGTATATTTTATGGAATACTTTATACTATTATATATATTATTATATTTTAAATTTATGTTTTCAAGGATTATTGTGATGGTGGAAGCTTGTATGATCGTGTTTCAGCAGCAATTAAGGTAAAATTCTTTTTGTAATTACAAATTTATTTATGTTCATGCCATTTTAGTGTTAGACTAAGTGGCACTATTTCAGAATACATCGAGTAGTGAAGATAGTGTATTCCAAGACCGAAATGCATTGTTACGGTTYGTTTACACTTAGGATTTTTGCAGCTAACGTTGACGTAGGTTTATATTGTAACCAAAGATATATGTACTGTACCTTTATCTTGACCTATTA